CTTGGTTCAACTTGGTTCAAGCCACAGCCACTGGCACTATCTGGAAGGTCAAAATGGGACACGCCCCCTACGGTGGTGGAGAATGACCAAGCTAAGATCGCATCCAGCTGGTCTGTGCGTTTCTGCAGCTCAATATACAAACCAGCCCGTTTACCATTCGGCGTTCCCTCCTCCCCTCTCATAAAGGATGCTCCAGTGTCTCCTCCGCTAAAGGAAGCAATAAAGGAAGCACCGAGGTTCCTTCCTTTAGGGTTTGGAACAGCTGTGGCCTCCACACAGATCACAGGTCACGTCTGTCAGCGAGTAACCTCACGAAAACGGAAAGCACCCACAGACTTTATGATGGAGTGTTTCAGACCTCAAACTAAACGCACGCAGTTCAAACAGGATGGACTTTTATTGTGAAAGTCCGGGTTCATCAGTCAATCAATCAACCTGATCAATCACAAACAAACCAAACGCTGAAAACTAATCAGCTGACCTCTGAGAAGCATCCTGTCTCCTCCCACTGAGCAGTGACATCGCAAACACCTGTTAAACACACTCACCTGGCGTCCCCCGGCAGGTCGAACATGGTGCGGTCCAGGCTGAAGCCTGACGGCGTCTGAGCGGGGGTCAGAGGGGGTTGGTACAGTCCAGCAGGGGGGGAGCCAGGCTGAGAGTGAGACAGCCTGAGGACAGACTGACAGGTGAGACACACAGGTGTGAGTGACTGTCGTAAAAACAACGAACAATGTTCTAACATTAAAGATTCATTTTATATCCCGGCGGGTTTCCTCAGTGATGTCATGATGATGTCACATGTTGCTCTGACGTCACTGCTGCACGTACATGTTTTTATTATTCCAATGACCTGATCAACAATCAGCTCGATCAGCTGCAGCTGGAAGCCCCGCTGTGACATCATAAGCACCTGACGCCCTAGCCCCACCTGTGTTAGCAGCTGCACCGCCCCCTAGTGTGTCAAGGGTGAAACTGCAGAGCAGAACAGGTGCTGCTAACTCAGCTACGTCGCAAACAAGCAGGCGTGCAGCTAACAGCCTCCACCTGTGCAGAGATCACGCCTGAGTCAGGCAGTAGGACACGTATGTGTGCGTGTATACTTGTCTAAATGTCTTTGTGGGAACCAAATGCTTCACAAAGGAGCAGGGATATGGCTGCTGATTGGTGGGTTTTCTCTTTATATTTGAACATAAAGCCCACTGTGGTTGTGCTTTGGAGTTAAATGAGGTTCTGGTCAGGCCCGGGTTAGTCCAGATTAGGTCTGGTCAGGCCCGGGTTAGTCCAGATTAGGTCTGGTCAGGCCCGGGTTAGTCCAGATTAGGTCGTTTCTGAGGGTTAGGGTAAGAGGCTAACAAAAATATTATGTCAGATTGATGTCCTCACTAAGGCATGAAAACGAGTGTCTGTGTGTGTGTTTACCCGTCCTGAGGCGTCCACATCCAGCCGCAGAGGAGTTGGGGCGAAGCGTGGGCGGGGTGAAGGTGGTGGAGGGGTGGAGCCTAAGCCCTGCTCGACCACAAGGCGCGACTCCTTGTGGTCGAGCAGCCGGACATTAGCTGGCGTCTGGTGCGTGGGTGAAGGCGGGCCGCTGTGCAGCACGTGCTGAGCCAGCATATGGGTGTTGTCCTGAGAGTGGACTCCACCCCGCTCGCTTTCCCGGCCAATCATCTCCAGGGACTCCAAGGAGTGGGCGTGCCTCATGCTGTCCATTACCCGCCTGAACCCCGGGCCTTCCTGCCGCTCTGTGAACTCTGTGCACATCCATCGCCCGCGACGATACGATTCCCCCCGGCCTCCGCCGCCGGCTCCGCTCACTAGTCTCACCACCCTGAACCTGGAGGAAGACCCCGCCCCCTGCCCGCCATCGAGGGAGACTCACCTCTGAGTCACGCTGGTGATCTGAAAGCCACTCCTCTTTTTACCACCACTCATTCTCACGCACACACTCCACAGGCTCACTGACACACAGCAGAGTACACCAGTTAATGTGGTTTATGGGGACATTTCAGAGACACACTTAAAAAATTAAACACAATTAAGAATAAACATGGATTTTTGATCTACAGAGGAGGAGCTTAGGGGTCAAAGTTCAGCTTTAACCACAGTCCAGTGTGAAGACACCTGACAGGTACGCCTCCTGACATTCACTGCTGTTTATGTCCAAACAGGACACACTGAGCATGTGCACGTGTGTTGATCCGCATCCTGGGGACGTAGCCTCACAATAAACACAGGTGGTCTACATCAGTGGACTAAGTCGTCAGATGCACAGACCTCTGGTACGTCCACATAAAGCACAAAAACTAACACACACAATACACTCGAAGTCCTCAGAGAAGCATGTACACACCCAGGTCCCCGTAGAGCACAAAAACCAACACAGTGTGTGGAGGCAGAGGTCCGAGTTAAAGCAGTAACGTGTCTCACCCCTCGTGCAGTCTGTCTGTCCAGAAGAGTGC